AAAAAATAACAAATTAATTTCAGGTTTCTCTTACGATTTCTTATCATATACAAGTGGTATGTCTATACTCAGTTATTGACAATAAGCAAAATTGAAATTTATTCTTCAAAACATTAATGAATTTGCGCGCATACATCCCAAACATCTCAGCCTTTCATTAACCCAACCTTTATCACTTCTTCGCTAAATCTCCAACACACTATAACACTTCCGCCTTATCTAATCACTGAAAAATCCGCTACTTTCATGGGTTTATCCCGTTTACTAAGGCACCGTATATTGGATTCGATGTATGGAAAACATTCGTCAACTTTGCAATTCTTTACTAAAATATCACTTCATGTTCATGATTATTAATTCAAAATGGAATTATTTTAGTTATGATGGTAGGTGGCAACCAAACCGTTCGTTTAAATGTGAAAAAATAATGGAATGAGACCAAGAAAATAAAAGTAAATCAATTGATGTTATCTCTTAAGTTCAATCTGTTATTCTTGACAAGAACAATCACAGTCTAGAGAAGATCCAATAAACAGGTGATATACATACATGATAATGCCTGAACATCTGCGAGAATCATTCGACTATCAGAGGGGTATGCGGAGCAGCGCTGGCATACCAAAGTGAAAATATGAAGTTTAAGTATCAACTTTATGGATTACATAGACAAATAAATCCTTATTTGCAGCAATATGAATAGGAAAGATGAATAAAGTCAGCTGATAAAAACTGGAATACGGGAAATGGACATGTTCTTGAACATTAAACAAAGCACCAAATGATCACAAATCGTTGATGATCACAAATAAATCATTTGAGTATTTCTGGTGACTGGAGTTAGAATACTGAATGCTGTTGTTAGACGAGTTAGAATCGACAAAATATTTCCATTGAAAGAAAGATAAAGAATCAATAAAGAATCATAGAACCGAGTGTAGCAGTCATAATTAAGAAGACAAAAACAGTAATGACAATTGTACTGACAGAAATAAAAACTGCGATAACAATGCTAATCACCTTTATGATGATCAACTAATCATCACGACGGTGATCAACAATAAGAATAACACAACAATAATTCTGCTATATCAAACGTAATCATATCGCACAAATCATAAACAGTAATAAATTACATACGGTAATAAAGACAGTAGTAAATTACATATGCGCTCGGTTTTACATACAAAAATGCATTGTTCACATAATAACAATTTAAACAAAATAAAATTATGTAAAATCAAAAGAACATCCACGAAAGAACACCGTCTCATTATCAAGCTTGTAATTCTTTCAAATGATTGCTTCAATTTTCTCGTATCTTTATTACAAGACATCGATGGCATCCGAAATTTCATGTCGGCCGCAATCCGACCCACATAAAATTTCCCCATTCCGACAGTCGAAATTCCGATCGTCTACTGGAATCGTTCGGTTGGAATCCGACTGTCGGAATTTTAACCGAAATTGTCAAAATTTTCCGACCTATCCTCAGTCAGTTGCTATCACGACTACAAGATAATCGATAATCGTGTTGAAAAGAAACAAAAAACTTCTCCTACACACAATAAGATTGCAAAAGTAACAAATGCACACACACACAATTAACAAATTCACATTCGGGATGTAAGACCACTGCCCTCACTCCATCCCATGTTCCCCTGCTAAAAACACTAACTTACCAAATAAATCTTCATTTCACTTCAACACTCAAATTTCACCAATCAGCTAGATTCAGTCATTCATTCCTTTCCGAATATATGCAATAACTAAATAATCACTATTCTCTTAATCTATTAACATTTCAACACCAAAACCTAACAAAACAATCATCAAAATGAATCGCATAACATGCAGCACGAAAAGCTTCGAGAGTTCAGAGTTTGTAAACGCATTCAATTGGTTATAATAATGACAATGGAGTGAATTTAATATGATAATTTAATATGATAATAATTTAATATGATAACAAAATGATGCTTTTACAAATAAATAACTTCTTCGAATCAGAGATCCGCAAAAACCGTCTCATAATCGACAATTAATCGATAGCAAAAATTATTCAGATTGTTCAACTGTGAAATTGGTACCTGAAAATAAAATTTTTCATATTCACTACCACTTCAACTTGAAAAGTTTAAAAGATTACTGACCAAATAAACGAATCTTATATGAATGAGAAATTAATCGTAAATAATTCCACACCCTATCATTCCAGATCTGATACCAATTGTCAAAGACAATAAAATCGAGTGAGTAAATGAACAACATCAAAAAAAAAAGAAATAAACCTGTTGATCAGTGGGCCATGTTAAGTTCGGTCCGAACACTACACTCAAATTATTCGCAGTCATCATATTTACATTACTATGTGCGGCTACCTGTAATATGCTTCAATATGCTTCGTTAACATTCCCCTCCTTTCATCCAATTCCCCATTACAATAAGTTCAACCACTCAAAATGTCACCAAAACAAGACATTTAATTTAAACAATGCCACTCACCTTTCTCAAGAAACCACAAATTGTTTTGAGAAGTATCAAATTTTCGGCTGGTAAAAATCGCACAAATTCACACACTGCACTCAGTTTGTTGCCTTTCGGAACCTCTGAAACAAAAAAGAAAGAAAAAATCAAAAGGGAATGAATACAATCTAAAACAATACACCTAAAACATTCCCAGCGCCCTCACCACAAAATCGATTCTTTCTTCTTGCTGCCCTAACACCCTCACATCGTTCAAATCAAATCAAATCAATCAATAATCATATCACATTTCATCAATCTGAATAGTTCCCTACGCTATTCTCATTCACTTCATACAAAGAATGCTGCTGACCAAGGGAGGACTTACAATAAACACTAAGATTTGCGATAATATTGTGATGAAAGACATAAAGGCATAAACTCCTACTGATTAACATGCAATTGCAGATTAAATAAACAAACAATCAAACAAATAAATAAATTCATTCTTTCAATCATTCCGTCCACAATTACAACAACGATTCATGAACATATCAAGTCTCGATGATATTATCATCCCAAATCTCATATTCTCGATTCTTTTCGATATCTGTCTTGGATATAATTCAATCCTTCCCAAAATATATCATCAATCTAAATAAATCAAAACAACCCACAAATAACCAACCAGCTAATGTCGTTAGTTTCGGATATAAAGCATTCGTGATCACTGGTTCACCTAACGAACGCAAAAACGTCTTCAACAATACGGATGCGTCTATTGATGCAGCAACCACGTTGTCCTTATACGGCTCCTCATTCAAAAAATCTATTTGCTCTCCTGGAACAAAAAAATTACACAAAATAAAATTTCTTTAAATATTTTCAAACCCAAACGTTTGTAAACATTTTACATCTCCTGAAAAAAAAAGATTTTTCTCTTATTTTCATACCACAAAAAAACCCAAAAAAGAATAAAACACTATCAACGAACCTCGATCGACCCTCTCTTGAAGCCGTTTTATCGAAGAAACCTCAGCCGATCGACGGAATAGACCCTCAACGTGAAGTGAATTCTCACTGAGAAACGCTATTAAATCGGTGACAATCGGTGGAATGTCGCAGTCAGGATTGTGCGATAGGATACTGAAAGAATCGTTAACATAAAACAATTCAGTTGAATATTCTAATACCAAAAAATATCTATCCTCAATACTAAATCAATTCATTCGAGGACACTATTAACATCGTTTTTATGTGCCCACACTTGTCATGTGCCATTGCTATGATGTGCTCTGATCTCAAGATATGTCCCAACTTCCTTATGTCCGATAGAACGAGAAAATAAATAATCTACCAACATAAAATCGACGAAATTCTGCTGATCTGATACTTCAAAAAGTAATGATAGTAATTAAAGGAATGTGATAACACGATTACGAAAATGGTACTGATTAAAATATGAAATTTACACTTTGAAATTTCCAAAAAAAGACGACTCTGATCAAGAAACAAATCAAAATGAATGCAAAAACGTAAAAACGCTGTAAAACCAACAAACTGAGAGGCACGTTGAACTGCTGCGTTGGTCTTGGTGCTGTGGCCAGCAGTGTTGGATTGATTTTATTATAACACATCAAATCGTTCGATAGTGTTGTTGCATTCTTGCTCGAAGATGATGACAATTGTAGTGATATGTCATGACTGAAATATCCACCTATCACTTATTCCACCCGATCAATGCTCACTGATAATGATAAAGGCTACAATGGCACTGATAGAAATGAAATAACAACAATCAAAATAATAAAAATAGCAAAAATGTTAACAAAAAACAAAAGTAATAGTAACATATCAATGCATCTTTATTCAAATTTATTTTATTCAATCAGCAATCCCAACTCATTATGAGTTTATGCCCTTCTGTTATTACCAATATCACTGATATCACTATATCACCAATATTACATTCTTCTTTAAATCTACCAACAAAAAATGATATTAGTTATATTGGTCTTACAATCCAAACTTATAATATACTTATACTTAAACTAATATATCTTACTAATACTAAAAACTCCCTCCGAACCAACGAGTTTCATGCCGATCCAATAAATTCCCCACCCGAAACGATAACATTTCAACACAACAAACGAACTCTTTGATTGGTTGTGGTAAATTCAACTGTTCCACACGTAAATATGCATTGAGTTCATTCAAATAATTCACATAATGCACTTTTCGTTCGAATTTTATCGATATGAACGGCTTGAATATACCCCAAACGAAACGTATGAAACGTGTCGGATGCACCAGGAATAGTGCCTTCAGATTCTTTTTATACCTCAAATTTTATACATCTTCATTACTTGGAGCAATCGCTTTGCATCAGACAATATTTCATAAGAAGTAACGAAGTGAGTTTTTAATCGGAAATGATATGATGAGTTAAAGAAAGTGAATGACGAAAATTTTAAAAATATTTCTAGAACGGAGATATTTTTGAAATAATTTCAGAGATTCAACAGATTGAAAGATTAACAATAATGAAAAATTTTAAGATTTTTTAAAAAGATACTTTCGGTCGAGGATATTATATGCTTGTAATAACCACTTCAACGGTGGCTTATTGTTACTTCTCAAACCATAATGAAAATAAACAATTGTATAATCCAGTTCTACAACTTTATTCAATGTGAATTGTAAAAATCTGAAATCGAATCAATTGAAAAATCAATCAGCAACTGTTCTCAATAAGTGCGAATCACACTAACTATCCCATAAATTCAATCCCACTTAACATTTTCCCTGACATTAGAAAATAGAGATTCGCAGAATGGGATAAAACTAAAATTATGAAATAAACGACAAAATCAAAAAATATGAAATAAACAAATAAAAAACCTCAAAAATTTCTGATGATCAAACGTTTTATTCGACGGAAATCGATACGCATAAATGACGATTATTGGCCTGAAATGTTTTCAAAATTACTCACCTACAACATATTCAGAAAAGTTAAAATATCCCAAAACTATTCGAAACCAAACAAAATTTGGTCCAACAATGGTGCAAGATGCTGCCTCATTTTATAATCAAAAATATCTAATTCAATCGATCAACCACAAATCGTGGCATAACCCTGATATGACTTTATTAAGGATCAGTACAGGAATTGAATCAAAACTGTGACAAGGTGGAAATTAGACAGGAACCTGTGGAACTAAAGCAATCATATGTTCAAAAAGGAAGAAACGAGCAGGTAGCAGTTACCTTCCAACGCGATCTCCGTCCGCGATAACATTCACAATATCGTGCTGACTGATATCCGTAAAATCCTCAGCGAACGGATCATCTGCGGCCAAATCCAGCTCTTTCTCGAAATTGTCACGTTCCAAAAACGATTTCTGCATTGCATCACCCAGAACCAAACCTTCAAATTACCACTGGTGAACGCACATTCTTCCAATAAATCAAAAAAAAACGAAGAAATAAAATTGTTTCCAACATTGCCAAATGAAAAATGACCAACTTGGAATGTTATTATCGTCCGCAGTGAACAGATCATCCTCGGCAAAGTCATCTTCTGGCTCGATGAAGTCCGTATCGTCAAAGCTGTTGCGTACGGCCATCACTATAACCATTCACCTCATTCTATGAATTCATCGCAATTTACACATCATCAGCAAATGCTTACGAGTACACGATTCATAAGGCAAAAACAACGAAATTTCTAAAGGAATATGGAAAAATAAATATTCTCAAAGTACATTTGTAGGTCTAAGAAAGTGGTCTGAGTGACGAGTTTTACACTACAATGAACGATGAATAATCAGTATGGCTGACGAATGCAGAAGAAAAATTTGATCAGCGATGTATGGAATTACATTACAGTATTGATAAATATTGATAAAAATAAT